TGATGAAGATGTTGTGGCAGCGGTGGTGATGGTGGTTGCAGCTGTGGTGATTATTATTGTTATTTGTACCTTTTCAGGATATTTTCCAACAGGACCCGCTTATCAGCACAAGATCGGTGCTCKATTCAAGTCGACTTTATCTTGGCAGACTACTGCTCCCCAGTTTCTCACCGTCACGGATAGCCGAGGACTTCCTGTTGAAGTCATACTGAGTCAAGGAAAATGGGATCTAATTCTTGCCGCCAGTCCATCTCGTATACTGTTGGTAAATATTCCCAGTGCCTCATCCATCCATCCATCCATTCATCCATCCATCCATCCATCCATCCATCCATCCATCCATCCATCCATCCATTCATTCATCCACCCCTCCATCCATCCATCCATCCATCCATCCATCCATCCATCCATCCATCCATTCACCCCTCCATCCATCCATCCATCCATCCATCCATTCGTGTCAGTCAGTCAAGCAACTATCATGTATATGTGCTACCTAAAATATGAAAATCTTTTCCCACAGGATTACCTGGTTCTTCTCCCACAAGACTACTACAAGCCATCAGTTCTCACGAAAAAAGTCTATAATCCATGTGAAGTCAACAGCAAACTGCCAYATTGTCTACACTATCGCCACCCCTCCATGGACGGGATAGATTTTGTCACATTTGAAGCTGAGAGAGCTTTGGTCACTGGTYCAATAATCACTTCTGTACGCGCACCGTTCCCTGGAGTCGTGCTCGACGGACTTCGGGTAATTTTCRTTGTCCTTCCTTTTTTCCTTTTTATAGAGTATTTTCGCATGATGTCACAGCCGCCATATTTGGTGCACCTTTGACAATGACTTKGTCATTAGTTTCTGTTGTTATGTACACTAATATGGTTGCCATCTCTATCGTCAGTTAACTCTTAAAGGACTGTGTAAAAAYGTTCTGTTACGCAATGTCAAAAAAGAATAAAGCATTTGTGTACTCTTGCCATTCATTCTCCTGACAATGCTTTCACCTCGAGAATAAACATTTCCAAGCTTACTTTGTGTTTTCTTTTTCAGAATGTCCTAACCATAGACCTGCCACCCAACCACCCTCCTGGTCAATACATTCTCGTCGCTTCCTACTTCTACGATGGATACCCGCGTACAGGGATTCTTGACATCACATGGCGCTCTGGAAGAACGTCAGAAAGTGGAAGAATGAACATCTTGAACTGCAAGTATGTAAGGCAATATATTTAACAAATCGATCGAGCTGGGATTTTTTTGGGGGGGGAGTCTAAACCTATTAAATTCAATTTTGATTTTAGYTTTAATAGACCAAATCCACCTAGCAATGCATAATGTTTTCCCCTGTCTACGTGTCATTCTCTTGAGGATAATATTCTTTTGTTGAATTGTATCCATATTCATGTGTCTTTTCATGTGCAACCGTTAAACAAAGAAACGATACTCTAAGGAATGACACGCGGTCTGAAATGGGTTGAAAGTGGATTTGGCCTATTATATTTGACATGCTCTCAAAGTTTGGTGTGTTTTAGGTACTCGTTTGGTTGTCGACAAGTTGCTCTTGGTAACAGCAAACAAGTTCACTTATTTAGGAGTATTCGCAACGGAAATACTTTCATTAAAGTCAGCACGACACTGACAATGGCTTTGGTAGGTATACCACGTGACACAGACAGACAGACACCTGTAGATCTACCYAAAAGTACAGATATGACAGACACACAACCTTCGCATGTAACACAGCCAGTCAGACACCCAGTCATACAGAAAATGACCCTTCGCATTCATGTCAGTTATCCAGTCGGTGTTACAGACAGACAGACAGACAGACAGACAGACAGAGACCCAGTCTTCAATCACAGAAGCAGCCTGACATTTTAATTATCTCTTCTCTGAAACCTCCTTGATTCAAATTACAATTTCCCTTTCCAGGATTCGATCACCGCAATACCTCACGACCAGTGGAACCCAGATTACCTCTCTGCCGCACCGCAATGCGTGAAAGCTGGGCCTTCTTGTATATCCTCGACTTTTACTAACCCTTCCGATGGGTTGGTCATTCAGGCTGAGAATAACACTGATGATAATGGTCATGGYAACGTTAGGCCGCCCTATCTAATGGACCATACTGTACGACTGGCTTATATTAACCGTGGGCAGGTGAGTATATGCATACGCATGTGATTATCACGTGGAAAGATGTATCCTAAATATGGGTCAGTGTGTATATACGTACGTATAGGTTTGTGCACGTGATTATAACGTGGAAAGGAAGATGTTTCCCAAATATGGGTCA